CTCGTTTCCGTTTCCTTCACCTCGAAGGACGAAAGGAAGGGGACGAAAAACCCGGTAACCGCATTACCGCGCTTCTTTACTTCGAAATAACATTTACGCCCGAATAAGCGCCCCTCCCCCGCCACTCGTGACCGGATAAAATCTTTGGAAACTTTGGACAGAGAGATAGAGAGAGATAGAGAAGGTGGAGGGGGGATAGAGAGAAGGAGAAAGAGGGAGAGAGAGAAAAAGATTTTCTTCGAGCAAAATCTCGGCCAACACACACCCTTCGATAAAAGCATTTCCGTCCTCGTACCACGAGTTCGTTCCATCTTTCTATATAGGGAATCTATCTATATGTATCTCTCTCTCTCTCTATCCATCTTGGTTATAGATGTAATATAGCGGATTCGATCGATGAGTTTGCGCTAACCCCCCCGCCAACCTTGATTCCACGATGACGTTACGAATGGTACGAAGCAAGAAGAAAATTCGTGGATCGAACGAGCCTTGTTTCTCGAAGGATTGATACACTCTCTTCGGGAAATAATCTCGATATATACGTAGAATTAATCTGGAGAAAAAGGTTTAGTGAATATCTAACTCGCGTCTAATAACGTCTGGATGAACCAGATTTTCCAATCCTGCGAAAGGCTCGTTACCTACGAAAGGATGAGAGACGCAACGAACGAGATAAAAAAGGTGAAAAAAAAGAAAAGGGAAAGGAAGGAAAAAAGGAAGGAGGAGAAGAGACTTTGGCCGATACGAGCGAACCTCGTTCCGTTCCACGGAGGTTCAAAGGGAGAGATATCTCCTTTCGGCGCACTGGCGTTCAGTTGCCAAACGAATATATACCTTTTTCTCTCCCCCCAAAGGGGGAAGGAATCTTTCGCACCGCTCAATTTTCCGTGTCGCGTCGAGCTGCTACGTGTATCCATTTTCTCGCGTCTCGAGTCTCGAAGAGATCAAAGTGAACGTCCGAGGGAACGTCCTTCTGCAGAATCCAGTCCGAATCGATAGCGCGCGGTAGGTCGGTGACGTGTATTCCGCGTTTCGAAAACATCTTTCTCCTCGTTGAGGAGAAAATCCTTTTGAGGAGGGACCATTCCTTTTGTACTTTGGTAATCGCGATAAGAGCAGGACACGATAGATTTGCGCTAAAACGGAACGAAATTTCGATGAAACCGTTCAAAGTTCGCACAATGATTCGATATAATAGGAGATAATTGGACAAAATTAGTTCTTTGATATAAAGATTTAATTTTTA